ATAAAACAGGATGAATAAGAAAAAACTATTAATACCAAGAATTCATGGATGTGATGTGGTAGACATTAAAAATGTATTAAGGTACCGGATAAAACTACAGAATTCACAGTATTGTTTTAATCAACTTTGCAATAACGGCTTACCTGGCTGTTTATATATAATAGGTGAAATCTATTGTTAATAATAAACATTGCGTATGAAAATAAACCAATGAAATGCGAATAAAACTAAACAGATCACTGATAAAATCAACTAAATTTAACTTTGCGCAAGTTAATAAACAAACCAATCCTATTCCTACCACAGTATTTGTGGTAGGATATTACCACACATCACACCTGTGGCAGATAAGATGTGTGGTAATATACAATCTGCGGTAGGTAGTGTTCGGCTACCACAGGCAAACTGCAGTATTTTCCATCTCAAAACCTCCTTTGCTGTAAATTATCATAGGAAGAAATATATAACCATGACCACAAAAATCCACCCAAAGCTTGATAACTCTACCCTCGCAAGGAAAGGTAACTGGAAAATGCCAATTCTCAAACGCATCAACCCACTGTCTGCTAGGCTAGAAAGAATCATGTCAATCAAATTCTAACTCGCCTAGTCTATACTCGACATATATGGTCATTTTCTTATTACGGATATTAAACCATGAGGAATTACCTGAATAAAAAGCAATGTGAAGAACTGGCATGATACAAACATGAGCAGCAGCTGCCGCCTGAGGAGGACCCAGTGGAGGACTGCAGCTCCAGGATCCAAATTATCCCCCGAGGTGGTCCCTGCAGCCACCAGACCGGACGTGTATCGCTCAACGCAGCCCCTGGCCCTTCCCTGCTGCTAGCACACCCTCTCCCAAGAGCACCACATACACACGCCTTCATCTTAACTTTAACCCCCCTTCCCTCTCCCCCGACTCTTATCACTACACACTAAAGGCTCACACATCACTGCTTTTATCCGATCTGAACATGACGATCAAATTAGACAACGACTAAGTCTCTCCTCCTGAATTTTCTCAGTGAATGGATTTTGGGGTTAGATTTAATATAAGTGTTGATAAGCAACATTTTTTTTTTTTTTAGAAAAAAGAGCAACGTTGATTCAGAGGGAGCAGAGTTTAGAGTGCCACAAGTAACACATCAACTGTTAACAGGAAGCCTCTAGCAATTTCCTCAAAACATCCGTGAAAGCGTGTACGCAAAAATACATTTCAACTTTAATTTATTTTCACAATTGACTAAATACAACAAATATTAAGTTGAGCATTGGCCGAGCAGTGCGTATTTCACAGTAGTATTGCTGGTAACAGCTTCGTCACCAGTTTGGAGTTTAGCCTGGAGCGAGCGTGGGTACTGCAATGCTGATTATGTAGATTACTAGTTGCTCTTAAAGCTTTCTGTTTTATGCACCTGGATATAAACATTTTTGGCACGCTGCGCTGGGTGTGTGTTGGGTGCATAATAAATAACTAAACTGCATAGGCTATACTTCATTTCTATCATATGCTAATTTATTAAATAAATAAATGGGTAGACGTTGATCTATGACAAATTTATATATATGACAAACTGACCAGCAAGGCTAATATAGAAAGGATCAAAAACACAGTACCATATACATCTGTATCTTTAATATGGTTGGCCTGTATCCGTAAATGATAAAACAATTCAAAACAAATAAGTACATGGGCACAAGGACGTAAAATACGCATAGAGAATAATTTTATAAGTGGTAAGACCCCGAGGAAGATAAACGGGTGTGACCCACCTACCGAATACAATGCACGCTCGTATGGTTTTGTATATACGATAATACAATATTCTTTATCGCAAGTACATGACGTACAATTTACAAATTCACACGTTTACAAATTCTAAACTTGTACTCGCATACTCCCCACGCCGTGGTCAGTTCACCACCACTAATAAAATGCATCATGCCGGAAGTTCTCTAACCGTTGATGTTGAAGCAGCTGGCCACGATCAAACAACTCAACACGTGCTCCATTTTATCCAGACATGACAATCCATGGCGTAAATGCTGCCTCGCTGGTAATTTACCGATGAAATTATGTTACCATGAATCCTATAATTCTGGCCATATTCGCAGATTACTCCCGTTAAAATCGTTCCGAGAGTTCTTCTACCCCCTAAACCCAGCCTGGGGCCAGGCTCGTCGTGCCTGTAAACCCAAATAAAAAGTACAAGAACTCATTTTAACAGTTTCCTGACGTGACCAAATAAATTTCAAGACAATACTCTATTTCTGACCAACAGCACTATTTTTGTAAATAGCACGTGTCGTGAGTACCATGACACACTAGTGGACTAGTATGGCAGTGCAGGTGAAGGCATTATTAGAGTTAACGTCCACACATCCATGACAATGCACCACCACCTGCACCACTTTGCCCACGACAACCCCACCACCTGCATAACTCCTATGGAAGCCTATTATAGGCTTATATATGGAGGTCTGCAGACAACGATTGGCCATTCCTTAGGCTGCTTCCATAACAGTCGACGAACTCCGTTCTTACCAATCTATTGCTAGGTGAACGAGGCATCTGGAAGAATGGAGGTACCTTCGACAAGCCCCTAGAGATGGTGACCTTCAGGTGTAAGAAAACGTATCCAAGCGACACACCCTCCCCGGGGAATCAAACATGGGTCCAATCGTTTGAGAATCGACTATCATTCACAACTATGACTACTCGACTAGAGATATTGGCTGTTTAATTTACTCGTGTAGTTCAAACTATCCAACATTGTAAATAGTTTTTAACATGCAACGTCATTACACATCACTTGCACATTAATATTTGTATTAACAGCTATATTGACATAATATACAAGTTTGCCTAATCCGAGTAATTCACATAGATCTTATTACAATGAGGTGTTGCTCGTATACACTGCCACACAGGGCAGATCATACAAAATCACAACAGGTCTAAATTGTAGAGTGAAACATGCATGTAATATATAAATGCAATTGACGATCACGAAACACTGATCATTTGTACGCGGAAAACACCAGTCTGGTGTTGACAACAGCTGTAAAACGGCCGAAACGTTCATCTTCATTTCCAATTTCTTTGTGGAGTTTCCGCATATATATAAATATATATATAATCAGATATTATACACGTTTCAATTGAAGAATTTGTAAATGCAACTTTCTATTGTTCACTACCGCACAACATTAATCATGGGCAATAATTTCATGTCATGTGACCTACACGCCATAAATAAGCTTGAATGCTGACGGGGCATCATTATAGTCACATTGGCGCTCGCAATAACCCGTGTCTGACACGTGTAAACATTACAATGCTAAAGACAAAAGTTATACTCGCACAAATAGATCACAACAATGAGCGTATGAACGAACACGATGTTCAGTCTTCTCCCATAACCTAGTCATGTAGGCTCTGACATTTGGTATAATTGCTCCCTTCTACGGACTGGGTGTGGTCAAGTTGAAATTACTTAACTACAATCCCTCAAAACATATTTACAATAAAAAGCGGATTAAAAAGCAACTTTTTATCCCGTGAGAGGGACAATTAATGCATTCTCGCTCAGACATGTCCATATATCATTGTTCTTCAATCATATAACGTAACCAAACAAAAAATCTGATCTAACATATCAAAGGTGAAAAAATAAACTCCTCCACAGTGTAGTGCCAGTCACACCTTGCCATTGCTGGTTTAAAATTAATATTTATACCAACACCGCGTTGCTGGGCCAGGTTCAGTCATTTATTTATTATGCACCCCATACCCATCCCGTGGGCGGTGATGGAAAGGGTTACTGAGGCATATAATGGGTTCAGGAACTGAACCCTATAGTTCGTTTAGCTAAGTAAACCTTGTGGAACAATGTTTAAAAATGCAGGTAAGGGAAAGAGTGCGTATCTCAAGGTAAGATGTACAAGGTCTTATGGGCTGATTATAGGCCTACCCTAATTTAGGCTACGTGGTTTGTGTAAAACTATTCAGGTTCAAATTATCCAATTCCAAACCAACAAAATACCCCTAGCATAGTCATTCATAAATTATTTGTAAAGTAGGCTATTGTATTTTTTTCCCCCTCAAGGCCACAGAAGTAACCTATATACTTGAGCCTACATACTCAATTGCCTGAGTCACCGCTCAATGTTCACCCAAAGCTTACCTTTTCAGGTCATGCACACACTGAACTCGATAAAAGTTATATGGGTTTACAAAAACATTAATTTAAGAAAAACAGAATTCGCATGAAAAGCCATTCGGTGCAATTCTGGTCGCGATTACATCTTGTTTCATAGATAAAAGGTACAATTAACCTGACCATCGCTCGATTATCAAATGATTACCATCACAGTGAGATTTTGCAGTGATTAATGTCATATTCGTAGTGATGAATCTGGTGTATTGTATATCAACAGAAGGTCCAAGTGACCTTAATTATGGTAGAATTAAAATTATGTAACTCAAAAATTACAACTACTACAACATTAGCTACAACCCAATGTATAATGAAATTTTGGCCTTTATATTTCTTTACATGTAGGCCTATACCTTTTACTTCAATGTGAAGAAATTAACTTGAAGCTGCAGAGATATGCTAGAAACAAATCACAAAGTGAACACAAGCTATTTTAAGGCAAATGACCTCCGACAAGCCGCCGACTTCCTGTCCACGTTGAGGCCACTAGTTAGTGGCTCTCAGGTTAACTCAGGTCATCACAGATTAATACCTCCGACAAACAAGTTTGTCATATATATGAATACAAGAATACTTTACAAGAATGTTAACAACATGCTATGTATCCTCACAAACCCAATGTACCTTCTTGTATATAAATAAATACGATAAATGATATACTAACCCCGTAAGTAAATATCTTAATCAACAAAGCCTTGTCTCTGGAGAGAGGAGAGAGATTCATGTTAAGAATTCGACTCAGAGGTTGAAAATACTAATAAAAGTTCTTTAACTCACCTTAAAAACCACTGATAGTCCGTCACTGTACAAGATATTCAACACAACATTAGCAAACTATCCAAAGACGGAATGTATTTATTTGTGGGTTTTTTCTTCCCTTTAATACGCTAAATACTTTAACTTTTGGTTTAGATGCCAACTTATATCAACACTTGTCTTGGGTACGATGCATGAACCAATATATTTCACAAACTTCGAGAGTAAAACACTCTACATCCACACGCCTTTCCTCGTGGACTACTACTGTGAAATCTTTCGTGTGTAAGAGATGTCTGTGAGAGTCCGTTTACCTGGTAAACATGTTGTACAAAAATATTATTCATTGTTGTAATCCTCAAATAAACTAGTTCGCTTATACCATCCTAAATAACAACAACATTAAAGAATTATTATACATATTATATTATATATATATCGACAAAACTTTCAGAAGCAAAAACCATATACAGAATAACTGTACGCCTGGCAGGAACGTGCGGCAGCGTCGGCCCACCACGTGACAAAGGTGCAGAGGATGGTCAATTTTTAGATGGTTATAGCCTTAAAAATACTACGTACTTACCCAGTTGTACTCAACTAGTTGTGCTTGCGGGAGTTGAGCTTTGGCTCTTTGGCCCCGCTTCTCAACTGTTAATCAACTGGTATAGATTCTGTGTGTATGGAGTCTGCCTCCACCACATTACTGCCTAATGCATTACAAATTTGTTAACTACTCTGACACTGACAAAATTCTTTATAATGTCTCTGTGGTTCATTTGGGTACTAAGTTTCCACCTGTCTTCTTGTTTGTGATTTGTGATTCACCCGTACTAAATAGTTTGTCTTTGTCCACCCTGTCAATTCCCCTGAGAATTTTGTAGGTGGTTATCATGTCTCCCCTTATCATGTATGTGTGTGTGCGCGCGTGCGTGCGTCCGCGCGTAATGTTGTCCATTCTGCATTCAAAAAGGGCAGGTAGTTTTACTGCCAATTTTACAAAAACATAACATCTTATTTCCCGTCACACACTATATGTTTTACTCACTGCTTCCCGCGTTGTTAGAGGAACTGTGTCAATGTTGGGAAATGGTCGCAATATGGAAGTGTGATTCATCAGATGAATTTCTGCGCAGTTTGTCCAGCCCGTCCTCCGAAGGTTTCCCAACGTCTCGAAACTGTCGTACTAAAGTGCCCTTGTTCTAACCTACCAGTGGACCCAAAATAGAAAACGGGAAACTATGTCAATTTCGCGAGCCGCTGCCACTTTTCTAGTAAATTTTTTGCCCTAAAGTAGAAAATACATCAAAATACAATGTGCTAAGGAGGACGGGTTGGTTTGTTACACTTTGCGGCCGATAATACAATTATTTGAACAGCCCAATAAGCTTTTATTTAGAATGTCGTATTTCGTAATCAACACCAACATTTAATCCTAAGTAATTTTTAGATGTACAATATTTGAATATTTTCCATACTCGTTGGGCTTAAAACAGCAAGACTATATGAAATATGAATAAAATGCCTGACAGTGTTCCAATAGCCTATTTCTTTCTTGCAATGCGCAATATTTCTTCCTTTGTAGTAATAGCAAACTCCCATGCAAACTATACAAGCGTTGTTCAACTGAACAAATGTTCAACCTCTCATGTTGTGAGATTTTCTTCCGTAACCTTAACAAAATATTTATTGGTTCAAAAGTTTTACTAGCGAGATGGTCAACTGTCTTCCCTTGGGCAGGCCAAAGACAGTTAAACAGAATGTAGATGTGGTATACACCGACTTCGTAAAGGTATTTGATAAATATGATCATAGAGTGATAGCACACAAAATGAGGTCAATGGGAATAACTGGTAAGGTAGAACGGTTATCTTGAGATGATTTCGGGGCTTTTTAGTGTCCCCGCGGCCCGGTCCTCGACCAGGCCTCCACCCCCAGGAAGCAGCCCGTGACAGCTGACTAACTCCCAGGTACCTCGGTGGTGGTACCTGGTACCAATAAATCCACACGGTGGATTTATTGGCAATAAAACCAGATTAAATTTCATAGATGTGTGAGAATTAATTTACTGTACTGCATTTAAGATCGCTGTCGAGAAAATGATCTTGAAATACAGACAAAAGTAGCTACTTTTTCCGCGCACCTCTGATGGGAATACTGACTTCACCACTGCGCAGCAAGCTACACGTCCTCACGATGTGACAAGATTCTTAACTGGATGGTGTTATGCACATGTGAGTATAGACCAACCCACTAAGCCTGAACCCTTGTTCATTTGTCCTGAAGTGCGTATATGCTTCAAAGGCTTATATATCCGTGAGCTTATATTTGATTTATACGCTTGTAACCCGTGCGTACAACTATAGATACACGTAGTGTCAGTACAGGTTGCACATAAGGTATTAAAATACTAACTAAAATATTAAATAATAAACCAACCAGTCATACATTAAATATATACACTAATAGATGCGAACTTTCATCATGTTATGTATTATATGTACGGCAATAGATGTGATATTTCAACATGTTATGCATTATATATGCAGTAATAGAAATGATTTTCCAACATGATCCAAGTGTTGTAATACAAATGTTCGTCTAAGAATCGACGACGTTGAAGGTACAAAACCTGCATTGTCACCCCTACTATAGTGACTTGCTACGCCAGCAACGGAGAGGAAATTATGTTCCAACAACTGGGTCAAGGGAAGGAAATGAGAAAATAGCATGACAAATCTAGTATCAGAATAAACTTATCCAAATATATATCATGTAATTTCCTATTTTTTGTCATAAATTAAATGAAAAGTATACTACCCTGAGTGACATAGAGGTGCTGATCCAGGCTTGTGAGGAGTGAGAGTTGAGTTAGTGTGGGCTGAACCATCAATTGTTGAACCAACAATTGACTCGAGTCAGGAGTATTGGGTGGGGTGGGAGTGAGGGGGAGAGAACGCAACATGAGGTGTGACATTCGACTTGAGAATGGTCCAGGACGGACCGAAACGTCGTCGTCCCTTCACCTTCTAGTGTGTGGTCTGGTCAACATACTTTAGCCACGTTATTGTGACTCATCGCCTGCATGAGGTGTGACCCATGGATACTACTGCTCTGCAGGCGTGGGTCATAACAGATGAGTAGATGAGTCACAATCACGTGGCTGAGGATATGATACCCAAACTACCCAAAGGGAAATTAAGAAAAGACTACTTTTCCATCCATTCTGGACCGTTTTCAAGTTGTGTAATGAAAAAAAAGTGGAAGAAATAAACAATATGAGGTAGAGTGAAATGAAAGGCGGGATGAATGAAAGATGAAGTTAAAAATGAAAGGTAGCAATAAGATGAAAGAAAAATATTCTTTATATATAATATTTACTAGTCTATTAGTTTGAGATTGCAAGCCAGATTGCAATCCAGGGGCCAGGTGATTCTCGAAGGTACTTACGAATGTTTTTCTTCTTAGCTACGAATGTTTTCCTTCTTAGCGCCACTTGCGACATATTTACGTCGAATTTTCTTATAAAATTAGTATATTTCGAAGTAAAACAATGTTTCTTCAACTTGTACAGTCAGCACCGACATTGTAGTATACAAATATGTTACTTTTTTTGTTTACCTACGTAATTCTAAGAGATAGTGTATAGCCAACCTCCTCTTGTCGCTCCCAAGACTTGAGAAGCGATGGTATCTATTTACGTATTTATTTACTTAAATTTACCCAAGGGCCACTAACTATCTAGTGGCCTCGACGAGGACAAAAAGCCGGAGGCTTGTTAAGTCCCGCCACTTGTCCTAATGATATTTTCTAGCTGGATTTTGGCAGGTACGGCTGCAGCGGGTAGGCGGTTCCATGGGTTTTAACCATCTGGGTAAAAAAAAAACATCTGTTTTCAGTCCTACTTGAGAGAACATACTCTCCAACACTATATCTGTGATTGCCCTGTTATCAGTGACTTCATACCAAATGGTATGAGGCACTTTGAGCTCTGTAATTACAACATACACTCAGGAACATTGTAAGATATTCTTGTGCTGCACCCAGATTTTGCCAGTGGAGGCTAATAGATCAGCCTTAAGTATTTTGTTCTCTCCTGATTCCATGTATGACTGGCCATCCTGTGAGGTGAGGATGTTGGATGAGCTTGTAGCTGGTTTTTGATCTGCACTGTGTGGTCCTTCATACAGAATAGGGAAGCAGCACATTGCTGTGTATACCTAAACATGTTAAAAAAATACATTGAGAGGAGTCTTGTAGAAACTAGTAAGAGTAGTTATAATGTTTCCATGATTCAGTGCTTACCTCTTGTGAAAATTGTAAAATTATTGTTTAGTCAGAGTTGATTTGTTTTTATATTGAGGCTGGTATTTTCTCCCCTGATTCCATGCATGACTAACCATCCTGTGAGATGGGAGTATTAGATGAACTTATAGCTAGTTTTTTTTATCTACACTGTGTAATCTTCCATATAGAATAGAGTAGCAACACATTGCTATGTATACCTAAGCTTCTCAATACAAAAATATCAGTAATAAAGATTTTAAATTATAGTTTGTGTTACAGTATTACCAATATTATCCTTATTAAATCATGTTAACCATGGATCATTAAGATCTCATGTTGATATGTAATACAGTAGTCATATTTCTTTTGAATCATTCATTAAATTGTGCCTTATGTCTCAATTTTTCACTTCTTTGGATATACTGTACTCTATAGTACAAAAAGACAGGTTAAAAATAAACCAGTAATATTTCTTTCATTATATTTTTTTAGATAACTGCATTAATATTTTTACAGCTAACAGGATTTGTTTCTCACAGGTGGATTATTTGTTAAAAAAAAAAATTAGGTTTATTGCTACACACAATGGTGCTACATAGCCTTCCCAGCTTGGTGCCTTCTTTTGATAATTACTTACTGATTGTTACACAGCCAAATTGTGTAACAGGAAGAGGTCATGGACACAAATTTGTTCCATGCTAAATGTAGAGGAATCAGCTGAGCATTCCTCAAATAAAATAGGCTGCCTCAGCTTATAAGGTAAATAAAATAAGCATTCTTCAAATAAGTAGCTGCCTTACTGCTACATAGCCTTCCCGGCATGGTGCCTTCTTTTGATAATTACTGGTTCCACACACCCAAATTGTGTAACAGGAAGAGGTCTTGAACCCCTACTTCCCTCTCTCTTCTTTAATAGTCCATATAGTCATAATTATAGGTTTAAGTATTCAATGAGAAGTTTTTACCCTAATCTAACATCATTTGTGCAGGATATTTTTCTTTTTTCTCACCCAGATTTAATTTAAAAATAAAACCAAACAAAATAAATTAAAACTGTGTATGAATAGCTAAGGTACACCCTTCTGATTACTAGGTGAACAGGGGCATTTGGTGATAGTAAATGCTCCCATCAGGCAGGGCTCATAACCTTCTCTCATATTTCATGTTCACCAGTGTTTATTTACTTAATAACTACTGGTATAATATCTTGCTATTATAAAACTAATTCTACTATTATAAAAGACATATTTACTTCAAGTTTCAAGCAGGGAATGCATATATATAACTAACACGAAGGACTCCTCTTCACGAGATTCATCAACTAATAATCTTTTGTTATATTAAAATCGATCCCAGTGTTATGTAGTAGAGAAAAATTGAGTTATATCCAGTTTATGTAAAGCTACTAGTGGTTGACACCACACTTATATCCCGGACCAAACTTACGAAGGTTTTTCGACTTAGTGTAGCTACCTGAATACCGACGTAGCCGTCACGAAGGTGCTAAGAAGGAAAACATTCGTAGCTAAGAAGAAAAACCTTCGTAAGTACCTTCGTGAATCTGGCCCCTGGTGGATAGCGCGCAGGACTCTTAATTCTGTGGCGTGGGTTCAATTCTTGCATGAGGCAGAAACAAATGAGCAAAGTTTCTTTCACCCTGAATGCCCTTTACCTAGCAGTAAATAGGTACCGAGAGGCGGGCCGAAAGAGTAAAGCTCAACCCCCGCAAACCCAACTAGGTGAATACTTGGTAGGACTGGATCAGCCTTCTATTAACTGTACTGTATAATTTTAATAATTTAAATTCAGTACTTAATGCAAAATTGTATTTTCAGAATATTTTGTATTGTTAAAGGCAAAAAATACTGTAGTAAAATGTAAACAAATATCGTCAAATATTAATGATGCCAATTCCCAGATTTTCTGTATGCTTATTGAAATTTCATGAAAACTTGCCACTCTGATTTTATCAAATTTTTCTGCAAGTAAAATCCCTCTGGATTAATCACATTATCACAGAGTAAAATTCTTCTGGATTTTAGACTTTGCTGTATATCGAGATCTGGATCTTTTAAGCTACACTGTAACATAACTTTTCCCAAGAGAAAGACCATCTTCTTGAGGTTATCTTGCGATGATTTCGGGGCTTAGTGTCCCCGCGGCCCGGTCCTTGACCAGGCCTCCTATTAGTTACACACACCCAGGAAGCAGCCCGTAGCAGCTGTCTAACTCCCAGGTACCTATTTACTGCTAGGTACCAGGGACATCGGGGGGTGAAAGAAACTGTCCATTTGTCTCTGCCTCCACCGGGGATCGAACCCGGATCCTCAGGACTACGAATCCGAAGCGCTGTCCACCCAGCTGTCAGGCACCATGGCAGGACCTGGATCACAGCCAAGATGCTCATGTGGAAGCTTAGATGATGAGTGTCAAGGAACACAGGTAAATGAAAGAGGGAACAAATTAGAACAGTATAATTGAACATGAATCATGTTTGAGTGACCAGTAGAATAATGAGAATGACTAGGATGAGTTTATATACAAATGGAATGATGAAATAAATTTCATCACATCTCAGGTCACATTAGTACTATTATGAAGAACTTATAGCAAAAGTGCTGGAATCTAAGGTTATTTAGCACTCAAGACACCTTAATATCTTAAGATTAAATAAAAATTTAATGCATAGCAAATGAAGAACACTGAATAAAGTTTCCGATTAATACAGATCATGTTACTTTAACAATTTAATAGTCAGTAGGCATACAAATCTTGTACTTGCTAACTTAAGACTTCATTAAAACAACTAAAAAATTTAAATTAAACTATAAAGTTGCTCCACTGTACAATATAAAAGTAAAATCACAGTTAACTCTTAGTTTAACACAATCACACTTGAGATAAAAGGAATTAACCTGCCGAATTTTATTTCCACATCTTTATAGTTCCGTCTCTGCCAGAGGTAATGACTAGTCGTTGAGGTTCATTCATAACAATCACATCTGTAATAATGTCTTTGTGGCCAGGTGGTGGCTGGTCCGGCCCTCTCTTGGGTGTATCGTCACTACTGGAAGGTGTCGTATGAGGTTTGTTCGCACTTTCTACAATAACTTCCGTCCCATCAACAACACGGGAGCTGTTTTCAGAGAAATGTCATTTAATACATTAGGTTTATGCAACCGTCATTATAGAGTACACAGTTTTATTTATATTTTATAGGCTAATCATCCCTCTCAGCCTTAATTTGCCTGCCACTCATAAATGGAACGATAACTACTTTACATCTTTTCAACTTGATAGAATGTCCAGCTTCCACCGATATCCCCCTTGTCCTACCTCTTTTTTTTAATTCAAATGAACTTCCTTTCACCACAAAACTAACATCAATAGATCAATACCCACAATAGATCTAACAAATATTCAAGGTTATTTAATAAATTTAATTTTAATAATAAAAGGATAGACCAGGAAAAAATAAACAAGGAACATATCAATATTCAATGGGGAACTGTTCTAAAGAACAGAAAGCCATACAAGAGAAAGTATAATGCAAAATATTTCCTCACACACATGCGACATAATAAAAAGACCTCCGTCAGTATGAACCTATGCTTACAAGTGAAGGTTCATACACAGAAAATGACAAAGAAATTAATTAAATTCCTGACGGGTGAGTGAAGGGAGTGATTTTTGAGCGAGTGATTTTTGCCCGAAACGCTATGCGTGATAGTGGCTTTACAAGAATGTTAATTCAACTAATTTCCTATATTCTCTGTTAACCCCCAATGTAACTTCTTGTATATAAATAAATAAATAAATAAAATAAATAAGGGATACCAAACCAAAATATAAAAACAATAAGTAATAGCATTACCTGTATGATATTGGCCATTGTAAATAAGGGTCATTGGCAGCATGGCAAACAATATATGAAGATTCTGGTTCACAAAGATCCCAGTAACGTAGTCTACCATCTGTGCCACCTGCTAGCACGTATGGGCCTCTGTCTCCCTGACTAACGTACATGCTACATACACTGTTGTTGGATATCTGTAAACAAAGAGCACGGCATTGTAATAATATTTATGACTAATAGTACTTATGCATTCTTCTTTGAACAAAATAAGATTTAACACTGCAACCTTTCCTCATAATATTTATAAAATACATAATATTGTACTTACACTGAATATATAGTTTAATTCAGTTACATGTATATACTAAAGTTTACACTTGTTTCTAAGTGATTTCTGTATCTTTTTAGGCAAAATCATAGTACAGTATTAAGTTGGTTACTAAATTTTAGTTAGTACTGGTTAGGTCAAATTGCCTTATTTTGCTTACATACATACTTCAAAATTAGCATTAAATCACTTAATTTTTTTAATTATACAGTAGTTTTTATATAACTTTCCCTATTCAACCATTTTTCTTTGGAAAATACCAATGATCAGTTCATTATATTTTATTGTAAGCTTTACCAAAGTATCATGAAAAGTCTCATACAACTTCTTTTTTTTCAATAATGATTTATATTGCAATTTTTACAGATAATATACTTCACAGTGATGGAATCCTTATGATGGGTTGGAGTTCTCCGTCAATAATATTGCTTTTCTTCCTTCACGTTTTCCCTTTACTTACTAGGGCTACCTAATGTGCCACTCTAGTGTGAATGGTCAAGCAATAAACAAAAATGTAAAGAATTCTAATCATTTCACTCTCTTCAAATATAAGAAGTTCCTCAATTTTCAGAATAGATCTTTCTTAAGTTTCAAAATATTTGTTAACAAATTCTATGCAATACTCAATACTGAACAATGTACCTAAATTAATGTCAAATTTCTATGACAAATCTTAAAACAATTACAGCTGCTTGTACTCCAAAATGTTTCACCTGTACTGTTGTAAGTGGCGGCCTGGGACTGCCCCAGAGTGTCATGTGCCTCGACTGTGTTTCCATATCCCACATGGATATTTCATTGTTACCGCTAACAGCAGACACCACCCAAGAATCTTCCTTTGGATGCATGCTCACTCGACGCACACCAGCCCCTGTTAAAACAATGTTTTTGTATTAAAACCTTGTACTGTACTGCCAAAATACAGCGGTCATCTATCATCTTCACTGCCCACACCAGAAACTTTTCTTTTATGATCAAGTTCACCTAAAAAAAATCTTGGAAACCTGATCTAGCAAATACTGTACAATAATTTAAGAGTTTCATTGTGATTTTACAATTTTATAAATAATATGGGTCAATCTACAGTGCATTGTGGGTCTAAAGTATAGGAACAGAGAGACTTATATGTTCTTATATGCACATATTCTGTTAGAGCAGTCTATTGTAAACAATTTGATACCAAATTGAACAACGTATCACAAAAATTGATATCAAAAAGCTAAAAAAAGAGAGTATAAACATTTGTGGATGGTGGAGAGTTAGCGTGCACCGCTCTGCCTACCCTGGGGTACATGGCGGGTTGCCTGCCGGGGCAGCGAAAGTGTTAAATTTAAAAAATTTTTTTTATCTAAAATCACAATCCTTTTGTTAATATTTTTGGATTACTGTACTATGATCTGAATATTTTTAGATTACTATGAAAAGGCATTTATTTCTCCATCATCCAAAATTTGGAGCCATATATATTTAATTTCATTCACCACTGGACAAACTATTAACCAGTTTAAGAACTGAAATAGTGAAAATATATATATATACTGTATATGTTTGCATAAGTATATAATAATTTGCTTTGCCGGGGACAGGAATAATATATACAAACGTGTATATACCTGAATACAGTACATATTTTAGGCTCACATTGAAGTTCTCCCTAGGTCGAGCCTTTCCCAGAATGCAACCCCAAAACAGTTGTCTAACAGATGCATTAGGTGAAAGGAAACATGTCCAACCATTCTTGTCCTGCCTGGGAATCGAACCCAGGATCCCGGATTGCAATTTGAGAATGAAGCCAGCTCTATGAGACTATAAATGTTAGCATACTAGCATGTTTTACTGAGAATGTGTAAGTAACCTCTTGGATGAGTAATGGTGGAGATTGGGAGCATGAACCGCAGATCCCAGCACACATGATGACCACTGCTAGTCCCTGCCACAAGCCAACTCTGTGTTCCCTCTAATGCATATGATGTAATAACTCCTGAAAGAAAAAAAAAAACAAGAAATAATGACACACATAATATCTAACATGGAAACAATATATGCTCTAATTCTTTTTTTATAGAAAATACCGAACTGTCCTTTTGGCTAATTACAAAAGTCAAATTTTGTTCATATACAGTAGTACATTAAATGACGCGTAAAATTAAAAAAAAAAAAAATCACTGAATTTTGTTTTAACTATTTTTATTACCCCCCCCCCCCAAGACAACTAAACCACTACATGGTAAAAAAAAAAAAAATGACCTTTTTGGTCCTTTCTGACCATATCGTGGCCTGGTTGTCTGGGGCGTGTGCGTGATAATACCCAGCTCATAGGTTCAAATCCTCATCATAACTCCTACAGATTCTCTCATTGATACATCATGTTAGTGTGATTACTCTGTGTATCAAATTTATTGTTATAACTCAACAAATAACTCAGAAACATCAAATGATTGTAACAAAAATTTGCACCACTGACCGTCAAGGGAAACCTCAAATGTTTACAATAGGGAACGTACATAAAGGCCGGGCTGCCAAAGTATTAAAGGAGAAACCATCAAGACCCATAATTTTCCCATGTCCTTGCTATCTACCTTCAGAGCTTGACTGTACAGATTACATCATGATATCATTTTTAAGCGAGCACCACCCTCTAAACCCTATTTACAAAGGCAGCTGCATGAACTCTTAACAGTGTCAAAGAACTAAGCCTAGCTAGCTATTTCTCCACATCCATATCTTTTGCATTTTTTAAACATTTTCCATGAAAAATCATGAGAAACCATTCCAATTAATTATTAAGAAACATGGTCTCAAAGTCTTTTTAAAAAGCATTTCTGGGACCTTCTCTGACCCAAACTCTGACCTCTACTGAAGAATATAAAAGCATATCCAGTAAAAAAAATTTATCAACAACATGAATGACAAAATTTACAAATACACTACTGTTTTACACCTAACCTTTCCGTGGACCATTTTCCAGTTTCCACGCAGTGCCGGGAGCGCGCAGATCCCAACCCACTATGGAGCCAAATACTGTTGCGTAAGTCAAAACAGACTGAGATCCTGGAAATTAAAAGGATATTCTTTAATATTGCAGAAATGAATGTTAAAATATTGTACTACATATTGCCAAACTTTGTAGTGCACCAACAAGTTAACAATAATCCAATAATGAACATGGATATAGCGCAGTACAATATTTTGTCACTACAGAAACAAAACAGCAGCCACAAGAAATTAACCTCATGCCTAAAAATGATTCTACATAAAAATCAAGCACCTAGGAAAGTAAAGCCTAAATACATGAAGCTCAAGGTAAACAGTTTTTCACAATCCACACAACAAATACATAAGTAAATAGATCCACAGGTTAGAGCTCAAAGGATGGCCTTCACTTATCTGTAAAGCTGGCACACGGTAACTCAAAGAACAGAAGTGACATCAACACAGCTGCATAGGACAAGTGACAGGAATTGCACTGGCTGAGTTAGTAGCTCACTATACTGCCACATGATGGTGAGTAGCTGCTACTAGAGGATGAAGGATGAATGACATAACTATTGAGTAAAGCATTTTCTAAGCTGTTCAGATTTGCCTTGCTGTTGTTTGTTTCGTTTCACTATCTTCCTGGTGGCTGTTTCTCAGCCCGATTGATCTAGCACCCTCAGTTTCATGTGCCTGCATATCGAGGGCCAGGTTCTGGCCTCTGGTTCCCGGCACACTTAACGACTCACAAGGGCATAATGCGACTCGAACTGGTTAGGACTAACCAATAACAGGAAGTCAGCGAAGGAGCCCACCCAGAAAATTACAGTATTGCATAAAAAGTTAATTTTTAGTCAATTTTTAAAGCAGATGTAACAAAATGTAACCTTCTTTTTATCAGTGTCTACACCTTTTTTCTTTGCTGCTTCATGATGAGATTATTTATACACTATTTGCTGTAAGTTGTAACCCCAAAAATCACTAGATTCCTTAAGAAATTGCCAAAATCATGTATGAAGGTGCAAGCAGTGACACTCGAGTCCTGCACTTGTATCATGCAGGACTCGTCAGGCATGTGATCATCTTCTTAAGATGATTTCGGGGCTTAGCGTCCTCGCGGCCCGGTCCTCGACCAGGCCTCCTTTTTGTCGTATCCCCCCCCCCCAGGAAGCAGCCCGTAGCAGCTGTCTAACTCCCAGGTACCTATTTACTGCTAGGTGAACAGGTGCATCAGGGCAAAAGAAACATTGCCCATTTGTTTCCACCTCCACCGGGGAACAAACCCGGAACCTCAGGACTATGAATACGAAGTGCTGTCCACTCAGCTGTCAGGCCCCTTGATTGGAGGGCCCTGACTGGTGATTGGAAAATTTGTCATATTATGACTCAAATTTCAGGTTTAGAAAAAAAAGGAGTTGTTGATACTTTGCCATCAGAAAAAGAGCAAGTTTCTGGATGACACACAGTGCAAAATCGGAATGTGTTATAATTATTAAAGTTGACACAATCCACAATCCTCGAAAAGTTTACATTGAGGTAATTTAAACATGCTGTATTTTGTAAATAATGTTATTCACTCACCTGTATCAAAATAGTTCATATCTACAACATAACCATCCTCTTCAGTATTAAGTTGCCTGCTATTTATCAGGCTCATTTTTTCTAATCTGCAAAGAAATGATATAACAAATTAAAAAAAACCTAAACTGGTAACAACAACAAATTTACAATATTTAATGTTTTTACTGAATATAGATGGATTTAAAAATGAAGTACTTTTATAAATTAGGCATAAATCAAACACCAAATTTAATGAAAAGCTCTTTTCTGGTGGGCCTTTAGTGGCTTCCTGAGCTAAGTATTTTGTCTAGCCAATGAATGCTGGCCACCAGTGCAACGAGCTGGTTGACCGAGATGCAGTCATTGCTATTATAAATTTACCAGCATTGATGAATTCACACACACATTTTGTTCCTTACCAGTAAACTCAAGAAACCATTATATTAATAAATGGTTTAAGCCTTTAAGTCCCACTGTACTGTACACAGATATTACTTCTGTTGTTATCCAGGTATCAGGCACCATTCATTTCATAATGCATGAATGCCCATTTTGTGAAACCAGTCAAACACATTACCATAATTAAACATCTTTGCTGTTGTTCCAATGCATCCACTACATTCCATAGTAGATGTATTAGAACAATATCAATGTTACACAGAGAAACCACAATAACATGGTATACCAATGAACAAATTCAACAGAACAACAATGTTGTTACAGTATTGTTATTACAACAATATATTGTTATAGTTATTATGAGATAACAATACATCCACTATAGAATTCAACTACAGTACTTCTATAGTGCAATTCCGTATCTTAAAGATTTAATTCAAGCTACTCTTCTGTATTTCTTTGATATTATTTTCCGACTTGGAATTTGTTCATCGATTCTTTCCTCTCCCACACAAAATATAACTTCCTGGCTTTTATCACATGATGACAATAGAGCTTCAAAATGCTCTCTATCATTCCAGTGCCTCATTACTTGTCAGTGCTAGACGTCCATTTCTCTATCACATTTTCACTTCCAATCCTGTTCTTTTTCTTACATTCTACCAGTACACCTTGTAGTTTTCCAAAAACATCTTCAGGAATTTTTTGGGGGCATGTTCAAGATTATAAAATACTGTACAGTAAGCCAGTATTGAACACATTTATAATAAATCTACAAAAATAAACAAGTTAAATTTTCCATACAGTATGCAGTTACTTTAATCTTAGAATAATGCAAAAGCAGTCTTCAAACAACACTCAGAAGAAATATACTACACCAGAGAAAAAAATGAACCATACTTGTTCATTTTTTCATCATTGAGTTAATATTTATCACTTCCAGAGTAAACTCTCACTCATTTTGGATAGAAAATAAAAGGCGTTATGCACAGCAAGCTTACTTAATAACATGTATTGAGCCATTATTAGCTGCGGAAGCCAGACTCTGGTGTGCGAGACACGCAGCCATTGATGTGATGAGTCCACTCTGCCTGTTGTAAGTGACCTTTGATCTGGAAAAGTACGTACAAAATAATTTCCTCAGAGTAATGACTGTTCACAGTATTAGTGAAAATGTTAGATCATCAAAGCCAATTATTAACTCTGCAAAATAATAACTTCTAACCATATAACGTTCATATTGTAATAACCAAGTTTAAACATCAAAGAACAATTTTCTACTGTTAACCTTCTCTGGTAATTACTACCTAATAAAATACTAAGTATTATTACTGTATATATAAAAATAATTAAAGATGGTTTAGTGCATCTCACACCATAAAAACCCTAAAATATTTATTTAAAATAAATTTTTTAATAAGCTCAAGACAATTTTGTGTTTTTCTCTTCAATTACCAATATTTATTAATGTTTCTCTTAATTTCCAAAGGGCTAGCTTTGGACACTTTGGACATCTAAACTTCAGACACTGATATCGATACTGTATCAGAATTTAATTAATTTAAATGTCTATATATCCAATACCTGAATATGAATTTTTTCTAATAATAGTTTTTACAACTATTCTACATTTTTAATTGTTATTGAGAGTTTTCAGTTTAGGTAATTGATTATACACCCTACACCTATCCGGTGAGCAGTAGTGGAAGAGGATACAGAGGCTCACAACGGCTTCAGGAACTGAACCCCCAATATTCCCTTACCTGAGTAAGTTACAATCCTGATAAGTTTATTACATAGTTTAACATGCATTTCAACAGTCTATTATAGCATAATGGGTCCAAGAACTGGACCACAACCATCTTTAAGCTAGGCAAAGAAGAAACTCCAATATTTACCATATAAATGTCTTGTGACACTCCTGGTACTTTATCTCGATAGCATTTTCAAGACAATTTTTACCATCCCTCTGAGTCATGGGACTGGCAACAGTAATAACCAACAATGATATTTTCTCCCAATGATGCACCAATTCCAAAGCTGTCTAAGATTTCTTTACATTAGCTAAGTAAGCAGAATCATTTCAATAGGTCAAGGATCAAGCCACTTCAATCAGCCTTAGACAAGCCCCCGGAGAAAACCTCTCTACCTCTTTCCAATAGTGTAATATAGGAGGAAGACCAAAAAAAAAAATTCACGAACTCAAAGCCTCTTGATATTATTCAAGAGGTACAATATATATAAATATGGGCTACCAGGAATGGAATATGCAAATGTGGTCACAAAGAAATTCAAGAGATATACTAAGTGCAGTACAGGTAAATGTTATTCCAAAAGTTGCACATTTTTCCACACAAAAATGTATTGGCATATTAAATAAGAATGCTATGACAAACTGTCCAGCATTTCGTATCAAAGGAACAAGGGGAATAAAACCAAAGCCAGATATGCCATTATGGAAGCAGCCAGAACCAACCAATCCAGGGAGATTTTTTTTAGCAAGTAGAAGAATGGCTAGGAATATAAAGGCGCTACAACTCATTGAAATGCTAGATAGGACACACCGTGGCAACCCAAGAATAATACACAGCATTTTCACAAATATGAAAACATCACTCATAATTGTCAACATTAAAGTTATCAAAACACACAAACGGAATCCATTTAATAACTTTTAACAAGGCAAATGCAGAGTCTGCACCCTTAACAGAAACTCACTCAGAGGACTATATGACAGTGAAATATGGATACTACAATATAATCTTCTCCAATGTGACCAGAAGCACAGGTTACAGGGTGAGGTCAGCCTGAACATCAAAAACACTCATCTGCACTGAGCTGCTAAACACCATAGGCAATATGGTCGAAGTGCAGATAATAAAAACAGAAATCTCAAAAGAAGTCACTGTTCTTGTAAAAAGTAACCAGGGGGCCAGATTCACGAAGCAGTTACGCAAGCACTTACGAACCTGTACATTTTTTATCAATCTTTGGTGGCTTTTTTACAATTATTAAACAGTTAAAGAGCTTCGAAGCACCAGGAGGCTATTTATAACAATAACAACAGTTGATTGGGAAGTTTTTATGCATGTAAACTGTTTAACAAATTTAACCAAAGCCATCAAAGATTGAGGAAAGATGTACACGTTCGTAAGTACTTGCGTAACTGCTTCGTGAATCTGGCCCCAGGACCATGAATGGGCCAGCAGGCTGACTGGGATTGTCACGTAGGCTGCCAGCTGGTAACAATTGAGTGCATCTAGGTGGCCAGTAGAAACTACTTAAGGTTATCTTGAGGTCATCTTGAGATGATTTCGGGGCTTTTAGTGTCCCCGCGGCCCGGTCCTCGACCAGGCCTCCACTCCCAGGAAGCAGCCCGTGACAGCTGACTAACACCCAGGTACCTATTTTACTGCTAGGTAACAGGGGCATAGGGTTAAAGAAACTCTGCCCATTGTTTCTCGCCGGTGCCCGGGATCGAACCCAGGACCACAGGATCACAAGTTCAGCGTGCTGTCCGCTCGGCCGACCGGACCGATACTTTGCATCATTTCGTCAAATTACAAATTTCTCAAAGCAGTTGCTCATTTCAGAGGTTTCGACTTTTGAGTGGCTCTTTGGTTCAGTTTTTGGTGATCTCTGATTCACAGGCTCCATTCTTCTTTTTGAGCATATCAGATTCTAGCACTGGCCCCTAGTAAGTACACATGGGTCATGTGTGTTCTTACACATGGGTCTATTGTGTTCTTATACATGGGTCATGTGTGTTCTTACACATGGGTCTATTGTGTTCTCCAAGGCTTGATTGCTTCACAGGTTGCAACACTGGGGAGCTACTAAGTGGGCCCATCCCAAAAATAAAACTATTCAGAAGAATCAATGTTGTTTAGGCAAGATGAGAGGATATGGAGGGAAGACATGCGAATGAACAATATGGACGTGAGGAAACACTGCTGTACAGTAATTCTAATGAACTAGAAAAGGGTCTATAGTCATAGAAGTATTTGACCAACAATTGGAAAGGGAACATGGTGCTGAAGCCTGATTCTGCCCCATCTTTTTTTGGTAATTTCTCAATACAAATTGTACAACCACCCAAAATTATTTTTATTTAAGCAATTAGGATAAATATTGATATCAAACAGTTCCAAAATTAAGATCACAATGGACACCATTACAAATTTTTTTTTTTTTTATCAGAAAGGACATTACAAATCAAGCCAAACAAAAGTATTTTACTCACCTATTGATGGAAAATTTTCTTTCAATACGGTTACAGTCCCATATTTTTATTGTTCCATCATTTGAACAACTGGCATATAATGAGGTATCACCAATTGACACAAGTCTGTGAAGAAAAATTCATTAGTTGCTCCATAAGTCACTTTAAATTGAAATAAAGTACTTTTCCCAATTAGGAAAAACTACATAGGTATAAACTGGAAAAGAAAGTCAAGAAATATTGTGAAATATTCAATCCACATAGGTGATCAAGTGGACTGCACTGAAAGGGGAAGTCATGAACACTAACTCTTAATACACATAGAAATCACAATAGTGTGATGCATTAAATAAACAAATTCCAAGGGCTGTGAAGAGGGTTCGAACCTACATCCAGGATGATCCCAGACACACCTTGATCAACTGCGCCATGACATGGTAAAAGAATTGCAACCTGGCGTGCTACTGCCCTCACAAGGCTCCCGCAGCTTCTCCGAAGCACACACCAGAGTTTTACACAATTCCCTCTTGCACCCGGGCTCTGTCAACCAAATGTTTTACCTCTTTACTCTTACTTCAACACTGAATTGAAATATATTCAATATTGAATTACTTACTTAAAAAAATTATAGTATAAATGGTAACTAATGGCTCCAATTGCAGTTTTGATGAATTTTGTAGATGGATTCAACATTACAAGGAACAGTTGGAGCCTTGGGAAAGCTATTGAGGATATTTAAAACCAAATTATATGGTTTGTTTTTATTCTGAGTAGGTAATACTTTCCTTCACTCAGATATGGCCCATGCTACATTTTGAAAAGGAGACTTGAGGGGGGAAACTTTAGAAATAATCTAGTAGTTAATTTTTTTTTTTTTTTGCATGTATATTTGGTATTTGTTTATTATATTATAGTTTGAAATTAAAATTTTGCCAAGTGAAATCTGCACACTGGGGGTGGGAAATGCCTGGAGACATTTCTGGTTGCAATGAATCCCTCAATGCAAATTGGGATTGGTCGCATATAGTTCATTGAATCAAGGATGTACTGTACAGTACAGGTACACCCATCTATCAATGCATTCATTCGTTTGCCCATCAGAGCCAAAATGTGAAATAAATTTTTTGTCACTCGAGTTAGTATTGTGTGCCAATTTTCAGCACTCTAGGTGAATCAAAAATGGGGAATAAAAAAATAAATAAAAAAGATTACATAATACATTGAATTCTGACCTATTGACAGCTCCTCTGTGTTCATGTAAGTGGGCCACAAGATGTCCTCGTGGTCTCCAGCCTGGAGGAGGCAATCTGGTGTCCCATGCGAGTGTTTCCATAGCACGGTGTTTTTTGACGCACACTAAATGCTCTTCACGTTTCATTGCTACGAGGTTTTCCAGCTCCAACTTGCAACTTGATATACATTCTGGAAACAAAATAAAAATTCAAAACAACTTACTAGTACAGTTGTTTCATACAAGTGAAATTAAGTGTATAATAAAAAGTGTAGAGGGAGCTAACAATAATGGAAAACCTACGCTAATTATCAAAACCCCTGATATCAACTGCATTAAAATTTTCATGCTATATGAACAATTACAATGTATGTGCTTCTTTAATGTTTTTTTTGGGGAAGCTGCAGGAATTCTGATTTAAGTTTCTGAATTTCCAATATACTGTAATTATTTTGGGCATGCACCCTATAAACCCTGGATTAAAAACTACACACAGGGTTTATCGTGTATGAAACTTTTACTCCATACACACGTTTACATTCTCTTCCTTGCGAATGTGAGTTGCAACCCAAAAGGAAGCCATCTTCATAACACACAAAGAGCTCACAAAATCACCAAATAAAGAGGGTTGCAGACTGAAAGTTGAATAAACCGCCATCCTCACTTCCGTGGAAATAAACATTCCACTCACCTGGACTATATGGGTTTTCATACAGATGGGTCTTCAAGACCCCATATGGTCCAGGTGAATAGAATGGAAGTTGAACTTTGTTGAGGTGCAAATTCCAACAGTAAGGAAGGAGCACACACTCAGCATTCAAAATAAACACATCTCATGGCTCTTCATATCTATTGTACATTACTTACTAATAATCCCTTTATTTTCTCCATCTACTGAAGGTAACTTGGTGACGGGGACTGTTCGAGAAGCTGGGTCTGGCTCCACTGGAGAAACAGATCTATAAACAGGAAACTCAATAAGAATTAATATTAATATAATTATGAATGATACATATCTAATTTCTGGAGGGGGTGGCTTTATGATCAAGATCCTGAGAGATGATGGGGATAGATTATGTAAAGAAAAAGCAGTCTAAATCTGTTGCTCTTTGCATATGGCAAATCCTACATGGAACCAGAAAATAACAAAGTTTGGCGGCATTGTTCTGCCTGCATGAGAGAAGTGTAAATGATGCACACTCACCGGACCCTGTTCCCAAACAACACAGAAGGGTGAGAGCAGCCATGAAATTAACAAAAAAACAAGCTAAAATATCAGTCGCTTACACACTTCAAAAGCAAAATCCAGGTAATGAAGTGCTGCACAGTCACCCTCATGAGGCTGAGTGCATTAAAGTCCCTGCCTCTGTTGCTCTAATTATTCACTGCAACTGTACTGTGCAAATAGTAACAAATGAGGTCATCAATCAAGAGCCAAGCTTTACAGGTCTCTTGTCCATGACAGCCATGAGCAGAGTGAACTCCTGAGTTCAGCCAATGCTAGCCTTGCAAGTAGCAAAGCTACATGTGCTCCGATTAGCTGATATGGTTTATATCTGATACTTTGGCCAATCAAAGAATGCCAAATGTTACCTTACTCTCACTGAATGAGAATATGGCATAATAAGTTAAAAAATATCAGAACAACAAATACAATATTTCCTAGCTTAAAACAATATCATATGGGTCCCAATTAGTATAGTTACTGGGCCACTGTATTACTCTCAGAAGAACCGAGATGTTCACAGCAGGCTGAGTGGCTCCGTGACAGCAGCAAGTAGGAAACTTTAGACCATGGCACAATGAACGGAAGTTTACAATACCAAAAACATGTCACCTAACTGAATCTAGTCCATCATGGTGAATGTCTTGACAAGAGTGTTGTGATCTGGTGGAGATTGTGAGCAGTGGCTAGTTGGACAAATTGATGGATTATGAGTGTAACTTCGCCATCCTTAAAATGCCATATATGGCCTGGAAAGACTACATTTTTATGATTAGACTTTATGTGGTGATTCTGTGAAGGACTTAACTTTATTTTTTCCAGTTGTCAGGGACAGGAAGCCTGAATTAAAGCTTATCAAGGTCCCCCTAGGCCAACTACTGTCCTCCAGGATGCAATCTACAACAATTGTCTGATATATCTATTTACTGCTAGGTAAACGGGCTTTATATGAAAAGAAACTTGCTCAACTATTACTGTCCCACACGGAGATTGCACCCAGGATCCTAGATTGAGAGTCAAGAATGTAGACCACTGCACTAATGTTTCCTTTAACATCAGTATTATCTGATAAGAGACAGATTCTAGTTGTGCAGGTGCAATGCCACCTTACCATGACTGTCATGTTCAGGGTGGACCTTGTCTTGAGGAATATTATAGTGAAATATTTCAGACATGCAGACGAGGAGTCACAATAACGTGGCTGAAGTATGTTGACCGGACCACACACTAGAAGGTGAAGGGACGACGACGTTTCGGTCCGTCCTGAACCATTCTCAAGTCGATTCATGACAATCGACTCGAGAATGGTCCAGGACGGACCGAAACATCGTCGTCCCTTCACCTTCTAGTGTGTGGTCTGGTCAACAGTTCAGATATGCCTTAAAATTAGTTTTTATACACAATTAACTGCCTCTAAGCCAACAAAATGGTTTCTCATATCTTCATATACACGAGTTAAAACTGTCTTGAGGATAAGCTTACCTGTTATCAGTTGCTCTACTAAGTGCACTATGATCCTCTGCTGTTCCAAACATCGCTTGCCATTCCTCATTCATAGTCATACTTGGAGATTGTACCATTCCCCTCTGAGAGCTGAAAACACACACAATTTTATACATCAATATTACATTCTTTCTCACTTTCATTGAGTAGGAAGTCAACAGTCAGGAGAAAATAAAAAAGAATAATAAAGAAATATAAAGTTTATAATGAAACACCCTTTCCCGAGCAGCATCGGTAGCTCCCCGGTGCACTGCCTCTGGTGCCACAATGGTATCAGGCTTCTTGACATGCACATGCCTATCAAACAACAGGAATAAAATATGGTGTGCTCACAGAGGTAAAAGGAGCACAGGGGTCAGTGATCAACCCAAAGCTGAATACATCCACCTAGAAAGTACAGGTGAAGCAAAACAATCTACCGGTACACATTTGAAATAAAAAGTAAATAGATTGAAACAAAGCAGTAATTTGCCAAAGGAAAACAATCATTGAAACGGTACTCATGGCCACACCATATGACAGTTCAGAGTCAAAACACAAACATGTTTTGTGAGTGATTAACAAAACAGTGGTTAAGCGAGGATGAGCCCTGTGATTCTCTGCAGTCAGGTCACCAAAAAGCAGGCTAAATTCCCACACCCTGGGGCAAGCCTCAAGTGGCACAAATGAGGCACAGCCCAAAAACACTCAAAGAACTGAACTGGGCTCATGCTACTTGAGCATTCGGGAAAGGCAAAACCTATGCCAGGCCGGCAGAGAAAAAGGGCTGTTAGCAAGCCAGGATGACTCAGGTCCTCATAATACAACCTAAAGGGCAAAGCCAACTTGGAAACTCACATGGAGAGGAGCAGCCAAGGAATATATTTCAAACCTCAATGTAGGATAAATCAGAGGCTCCAACTAAAGTGAAAACCCCTCTGAAGAGAGCACCAAAGACCAAGATGGTTTGAAGGACTCCAATGAAGACCCTGAAGCAGAGCGATGTTCCATGCCTGTAGACCAAGATGACAGTAAGGCAGTTCTCAATAAACTAGGATCTGCAGTTACATTACTCCCTTGAGAAACAGAATGCAGATGATCTTCAGAGGGAAGCATTGGCTCAACTACCTCCAATGCTGATGTGGAAGAGGCAAACCTCATAGAAGGCCCAGCTGACTCAAAGAAAGATCCATCCCAGACTCTAAAATCCTCAGATGCTCCTGGGCCCTGAGCAAAGGAGGAGAATGGGGAGGGAGGATGGGGAGTGCACAAGAAACCTGGCACACACCATATTAAAATTTTGTCTTCAAAATTTAAAAAACATGCATTATGTATGTATGTAGGTAAAAGTAATTGATGATTATCCCCATACTTACATTAATAAATACAGAACATCTGCCCTGTACCAAATACAAGCAATGATTCTTTAACAACAAATCCTGGTTATAAGTGCACAAAAGTACACAGTATACACCGAAGTATACCAACTTGAAAATACGTTCACATACTGTACGGCATCTTTAACATGAACTTACAGACTTAGAGTCGAAATGTCAATAGACCCATCCTCTGGCATCAGATCACAGTGATGAGTGGGCACCACTTTCTTCAGACCTTCAATGTTTATCTGCAATAGTAACCACACAAACAAAATTTAATACAATTTCTTCAAAACATAATTAAGCTTTCATGACATCACAGCCATTACATTACACACTATATAGGTATAATTATCTATTAAAGCTGCCAAGTAATAATTTTTTTTTCAGCAAGATGACTCGTGGAAGAAGGCAATGTTAAAAAATAAATAGTTTTGGGTGTAGACAAGTCGGACCAGATTTATTTTCAGCACTGGAGGCCATGGCCCTACCTTTCAAAAATAAAGTTTAAAGACTGGGCCATGGGAAATACTGGGGATGAGCATGAAATCTCTACCTCATAATTCAGGTTGGACTATATTCAGGTTCTTTAGGTAGATATCCACTATACGATAGGTTGAAATAAAAGGTTTGCTCGGTAAATCTCGCACACAAAGTGTGGGGGAAAAATTAGGATAAGAATGTTAACCTCTTCAATATTGTTTAAGTTCCATTTTTAGTTATTTTCAAAAATGTATGAATAAATGTGTGCAAGCATGTATCTACATGTATGAATGAATGAATCTATGCAAGTACGTATCTACATGAATAAGTGCATGTAAACATATATTAATGTATACAAGAATAACCATTACAATATGTTTGTAATATTTTTAAATCAATGATGCAAGAAATTAATTCATGAATCTACTTGGGATAAAAATGATCCCTGTAGAAGGCATAATAAGAGTTGTTTTGTTACTACTGTGATTTGTAAATACTGTAAATAAAAAGGCCAAGAGAAACATTACAAGTACAGTACTAGAGTACTGTATATAGTATTAGTCCATACCACGCCCAAGAGCTGTTGTTGCTGATGCGAGTCGTTGCGAGTAGCTTCCGTTGCCTTCTTCTGCCTCTGAAGTTTAGAGAGATGATCGCGCATTAGCAGCAACTGCTCAACGTTATCTTCGACTAGTCCTCCACCCACCAAACGTCGCAACAGCTATCAAAGATGTGGCATAATGTAAATGACATTATAGTTAATACAAAATCTCTAATAAAACAATAAATCATACAGAATATAATTGTTTATATACAAGTGTATTCATTGTTTGTAAGATTAAACAAAAGCACTATATTTTTATTATACCTGTACATATATCAATGTATTTTTCAATAAAAAAATCCCTCCTTGTCAATCATGTCAATCATGTCAATCATGAAGGAAACTAAGTGCTATATGATTCCATCAACTGAGACCAAGTTTATAAGAACATTATACAGTATACTTAACCACACACCAAGAGGTGGCACTTCAATTATAATCGCACACTCGGTATATAATAAACTTTAATATGCTGCTGCTATTTTATGAAAGAATTGTAACTTGTATATGGGTGATGCATAAGACTGGACATTTACCAACTGCATACAAGTTTACCCATTTCCATAAGTTTTTTATGTTATCAGTTCACTCTCTTCCTGTGTACTCTGCAAGTTTTGCTTTGACATAGATACGCATTACATATGATGTCTTATGGTCTATTCATTAAAAATGTGAAACCTTATTAAGGACAGACTGCTAAAGAATAATATCTAACATCTTAACTAGAGGGTCATTAGCTATGGCACATATGAACACTACTATAATGCAATACCCGTGAAGTCCTTAGTGTATTCTATTAGATATGAATTAAAATGCAAGTAAATGTGCATGATAGTGTAAGGATGTTATATATATATATTTGTCTCATACTCTGCTAGTAATAGCCATAGTATTAAATAACTGTATAAGGAATGTTTCACTTGCTACCCAATTTCTTTTTTCCCAAAATGTATAACTTACATTCCTAGTAGAATGATCCAAGTGAGAGAGACTGGAGGGCAGCTGCGCCAGCGGAACATTTTGTTGTCGAGCCTCCTGAAGAAGCGATAGGATTTGGCCAACATCTGAACATTTCACTAATGCATCATAAACTTCCCGTGATATAGATGGCCGCAAGCACGACAGAACACATATCTGATGAGGGGGAGTAGGCTTCAGCATAGAGTGAAAAATCATCCATTCACCATATCATACATACTACTCAGCATCATAGAGAAAAAACCACTTCAGAAAATTGCCATGCATTGTCAAAATACTTTTAAACCAGGCAATGCAAATGATAATTATAAACACAAATGCTGTACAGGATGTTTACAGACCTCTGACAAAAAAAGCATTGAATATAATGAAACGCCATTTTCTGGGTGAAGCCCCGGAGGCTCCCTAAGGCTATCCGAACTGATATAGTGCTTCATTAGTTTCGTTCATCAGTCACAGGAGATCTTTGCCTACCAGAGACCATGAGCCAGAACCTGGCCCTCTCAGGGAGAACACAGGGAGCAATGACAAATGAACACTTTGAATTTAAAGTATGTCATATTCTGCCAACGTTCGGGGTGGGCACCCAGAGATAAGCGAACCAAAACAAACAACTAGCTGGTAAAATTGCGACCTACAACCAGAAAGAGCAAAGAAGCTCCTTCGGAAAGAAAATAAACTAGTAACCCTGAACACAACAAGTAATCTTGCTCATTGGCGTATCACCCCCCCCCCCAAAGGGGGAGGGGGAGCCGGTTGCCCACCACCCCAGTTCTTGGCATGATGTAACAAACTGCCGACCGGAAGGAGGGAGGGCGTCAGGGAGCCTCTGGGGCTTTGCCCAGAAAATGGTGTTTCATTACATTCAACGCTGGTTTTCTGGGAGAGCCCCGTCGGCTCCCTGAAGGTAACTACCCACAGATAAGGAAAAACGGACATACCCAGCAGGCAGCAGTACAGTACTGCAGAGAACTAAACGAAGAAGAGACAGACGGGTCGCAACACGCGCCCCAAAGCTGTTCAAAGCCAGGAAGGAGCCGGAACTATCACGAGATACCTGGTGCCCAGGACCCTGGCTGACCTCAAAAATCAATGCGCCTGAATGTCTACCCAAGATAAGGTGCCAAAACCTCCTGCGAGAGCAGCAGACATCCAAATGTCAAGGGCACAAGGGCAGACCGCAGGCTGGCAGGACAGTCTGCTTTGACAAGTAGACAGAGCCACTGATCTTTAACCTGATATATTGAAGTCATGGACATCTTCGACTCCAAAGGACGAATATCATGGTGATAATTATGGAGGAGCTCACTGCTCAAGTAATAATAACCTAAATGTTTTACTTTGGCAAGCCTTGAGCCATTTCATTTATTGTGTACTGTAATAATAATATTTTTCAATGGAGCATTAGAGTACAGTGAATCCTTGGTTATAAAACAAACAAAAAATGGAAGAACAAATTCTGTGCAAATTTATCCATTAGAGTACTGTATATTAATTTTGTATATCCTAAAGTGATGAAAACAAGATATATTAATACCAAGTTGAGAACACATTCTATTTGTAGATAACTTTTAATATTCAATGATTTCATCAACATAAGACTCAAGCTTACATAACATGCCATTCATGGAGTACAAGACTTGTATCTCTACATCTCTAACCCTTCAAGAAATGCTCAGAGCTCCAATGTAGTGATAACAGCAAGTGGGTGTAAAGTCCTGGTCTTGCCTTATTGTACCTCCAAATGAAGTTAGAGTAAGAATACCTTCCCAAAACCTCTCTGAAACCTGAGAATTGTTTTAACAATTTGTACCAGCATTATTAGAGCTCAGGAAAGCAGCTCTATGATCCCAAATCTAATCAAGAAGATATCTATAGTCTGAAACATGACAATCGGCAGGCCTAGTCGAGACTAATCTATATCAGCATTTTCGACCCAGAGAGGCCAGAGACCACCTATGTGATTAAATACACACTACTGAGGTCAAGAATACACTATTCAGATTCACAAATCTGCTGCCCCACTACTGGACAGACAAATCAGCAAGAGCCCCACAGGGAAAATAATAATATAAAAGAAATTGGAGGCTTATTTAAATACTTAAAGTGGACCAAAAACCTGACTATAAAAGAAGCAAATGAAACAGGAAACAAGCCAAGTATGTTTCACATTTGGTATGAACAGAAAGCTGTAGACCTTCAACCAGCAACACCTCAGCTACAGGCAATCAAAGCTGATCTTACCAAGCACATGTGCAGTAATTTTAGGGGTAGGTAAGGTAAATAAACAGGAGTCCATCAATCAAGCAGATGAACTCCTTCAGGGCAGGTCAAAATTTATTACTGCCATTAAAATGTTATTACAATACTGTATATGAAGATCATCCCCTAACCACATCAATTTATGTATAATGAACAGTACAGAAATTGAATTACTATATGTTGATTGTGGAAAAAAAAACATTCGTAAGAATTTCAGCCACGTTGAAGGGGGATGAGCCCCACATCACTTGA